TTTTGTTAATTAATATTTATACGTTGCGTCATTTATTTTATATTTATTGAATATTTATATTTTTTATTTATTTATAAAGAATTAATCTATGATGCATGGAGGCTTTAATTTGAAGGCTAATGTTTTCACTGGAAATTTCAAAAAAAAAAAAAAATCGAAGTTATTTTTCTAAATTAAAATTTTTAAAATAAATTTTAAAAATAAAATTAGTAAACAATTAATATTTATACATATTTGTATTTGCACATTTGCCAAGCATGTTATATCCCGTGTTTCCTGTTTTTTCAATTTTCTCATTCCCAAATCCCAATTTTCATGCAAAATATGGATTAATTAAACATAAAAATAAAACATGTATACATTTGTGTTTATTTAACCTTGTCTAAATAAAATCCCACCTACATTCACAACTTATTAAAGATCCAGTCAAATGGAATCTTAGCCTCACCCTCTTGTAGCCATGTAGGGGTGACTCATTGTAAACATTAAGTACACCACATAAAAAATTGTTTGGTCACTATGATTAACTCCTTCACAATTTCTGTAAGATGAAAATGTAGAGTCTCGAGATAAGAGATTTTGTCTTTTGCACCCAAGTCAAATAGTCTCTTCAAGTAAGTTACATTATATTAGTGTAATTTATTTTTAACATTTTTTTAGTGACGAAGAAAAACCATAATCATTATTTGAGGGTGTACACGGGATAAACATCGCATTTTGACCTTAACTGATTTAGGATTATAAGGAGTTAAATCAACCTCAATTGCTCATAGAGTCATAGTTGATCAGTTCAAATCAAACAAACTAATAAATCATTCTTGTTAAAATTAAGGGTGTGTTTGGTTCGCACATGGGAATCGGAATCGGAATGGATATCAAATACTTGGTAATGATAATGGGTTTTGGTGAAAGTATTTAACATGTTTGGTAGTATGGTGGAATGAGAATGATTACTAATAGTAGTGCTTGAGAATGAATAAGGGAATGAAATCATTATTTTAATTGGGTATGAGTTTTTCAATTAATGGGGTATTCGAAACCCATAGTAATGTTCTAAAAACCTATTAACCAAACAATAACAATCACTTTCATATCCATTCCTATGAGCAAAACCTATCAACCAAACACACCTTAAATTTGTAATATTGTAGTTACGAATTCAATAATAGTTTCACCAACTTAACTGTAATAGCATTTTCCATTAACTTCTTATAGACAGGTTCAATTCAGTGAATTTTAGTGCTGTAAAATTTTGCCAATAGTTTTCAACAAAAAGTGAATGCGAATAAAACGTAGTGGAAAAGTAGATCTGCAACCAAAAAAAGGAAGAAAGGGAATGGGTAAAGGAATCCTCTTCTTTTTTTCAGTACATTTGAACAGTAACCATGCATCATCATACTACCATTTCTTTCATGAATAATTGGTCCTAAAAGAACACTGACATAAGAAATTTAGTTGATATTCTTTTTTTTTCTTAAAAAGATTATTTTAGATGTTTACCATGAATATTTAATGGGTTTAGTTAAAAATAGCATTTCAGAAATAATTGGAAGGAAAAAAGTAAAAACACTTAAACACCTATAATTGGCGAGGAAATGAACTATATCACTATATCTTGGAAGAAAGTGCCACATTCCCTAAATATTATTTAGTTCTATTAAATTACAAAATGTACATCATCACTTATTATTGGGCAGTAAATGAGTTAGGTTTTGGGAAAGATGTGAGATTGGAGTTTAATGTACAAAATATTGTTACTTTTCTAGTTAAAGATTCGAGTAATTAGAGTAGTTTGAAATTCCAAACTTAATGACTGTTTACCTTTTCTGCTTCCAACATAACATTAGTCATTAGTGATGGAGGTAAATTGCAAAATATATTACAATTGGTTTACAGATTTCTAAACGCTTGTACATAAGTAATTTTCTGCATGTCCAGCTCAGTTGGTCATATGAATGAAGTTTGGGAACAATAATTCGAGATCTAGTCTCACCTGTATTAGTGTGGGAGCAACCTCTTAAAGTGATGGAGGATCTTTGTGCGCATTAAACAAATGTCTGGTCTCTGTATTCAGCAGAGTAACCATGATTTACATATTTCCAGATGTTAAGTGATGTTTGAAGAATGATTGCCCACGTGGACAGCTCAGTTGGTCATAGGGGTGAAGTTTGAAAACAATGACCCGAGATCGAGTTTACCAACGACAGTGTGGGAGCAACCTCTCAAAATGAAGGGCCTCCTTGTACGCAGTAAGCTAAGCAAAGGTCTAACCTTTGTGTTCAATTGAGTTACCATGATTTATATCTTCCTATTTCTGTCGAGCCGAAGTTTAAGAAGGTTTTGGGGTTTGAGATTTAACCTTTTGGAACAATGTTTGAAGAATGATTGGACTCAAAACGCGGATTTGTGGTCACAATATTGAAAATTGGGCAGAAAGAGTTAAAGGGTCAACATCACTACTTTCACCGCCCACACCTCCAAGCCGGCCCCCTGTTTTCCTTTGTGTCAATCACAAAAGAGTGTAGAATGCGTGTGCTGTTATTTTCACTCTTCTCTAATCTTTTTATTTTTTTGACCCATATTTATTATTTAATATATTTACTTGAGTGAACAAACAAAAAGAAACCTAATTTCTTTTTGTTTGTTGTTTTTAGGGAGTATTTTATATTGGTAAAAGACACCATTCTCTTCATGAAATGCAATTGAATAATGGAGCCTTCTTTGTCCTCTTCAACCATGAAATATTAATGGGATTTCCAATCAACCCTCATCCTTAATATCTTTCATATTCTTTACAAGGTGTTTGGTAAACAATTGATCAACTAATCAATAAACCGTTAAAACACTACTGATTGATGAAAACAGGTTTTTGATAAACACTCAATCAACCGTTAATACTATAGAGGGTTTGGTAAACAATTGATCAATTAATATACAAATTGTTAATATTATTGACTGATTAAAATAACTAACACAATCAGCTATGAGCTACCGGCTAATTAACGAACACTTTTTTTTTATGTGTTTTAATGCATTAAAAATAATATTTGTTTTGAATAATAAATTTTCAGTATCTAAAAATTACATTAAATTTTGAGTAATTTAAAATCAACTTGCTTTCAAATTCTATTTTCTCATATGTTATCCTATTCGCAAGATTTGAAACTCCGACACTCGTCTTTTTATAACTCATATTTTAATGGTGTAATCACATGATGGTTGAAAACTTGAAAATGTTTGCTTTGATTGATGATTATCATCTACGATTTGGCTTAATATATGTTCTTTTTGACCTTTTTGAGGTTTAGAAGTGGGCATGGTGGGTTATAAGCACTTTAACTTTTACTTGTCATTCTTTCCACAGACCAATTGCCCATCAAACTTTTTTTTTTTCTTTAATTGAATTGCCTTTGCAAAAGTAACAATTCATTATAGAGATCAACAATGATCTCGAGCCCCATTCTAATCCATAAATGAAAGGACACAAACAAATCCAATATGAAGAAATTCTTTGTGTGCACAAAGTGCAAAAGTTTTTGTAATAATAACAAAAAAAGTACAGAAGGATTATCTTAGTTTTCTAACCACAAAACTAACTCCACAATTGAAATATACATATATATGAGAACTAGTAGTTGCATGACATGTGTAGACTAATCTCATTTATCTATTTAGACTGATATAAGACTGAAAAATAAAAAAAAAAATACTGTGACATTTTCATAACTAAGGCAATACAATTGAAATGTTTGATAATGCATCCATAAATAATTAATAATGCATGATTATACCTCTAAAGTACACTTTCAAGTTTCAATTAGCACTTAACATTATCAAGCGTTTTCAAATATATCGACATAATTATGAAAGTGTCACCTTATTTTTTTTCTTAGTTTTTTTTTTTTTTTTTTTTTTTTTTTTTTTTTTTTTGACATTAATCATCTTAAATGAACGGATGAGATTAGTCTACGCATTCTCATTGAGCTACTAGTTATCATATCTTAACCATATATGTGTGTGTGTGTGTGTAATCAAATGAGACCACCTCTACCACTCTCCCATGCGGTCATGCAGACATATTAGAATTGTAGGATGAGCTAAGATCAAACAAATGAAAATCAATGAAGATAAAATATACATGTGTTGGCAATTTCGTAATTTCTTGCACCATGTATATTTCGGTGGTACACTTTTGAGTGATACGTGGTGCACTTGATCTGTAGTGCACTAAGTATTGCACCACTCAACGGGGGTATCAAACCTATCGATGGGTTCTACAGGACTATTTTATTGAACCTACAACAGTTTTTCTTTTTGATGGTACACCACATAACACTCATAAGTGCACCACATAACACTCATAAATGCACCACACATTAGCACCTAGTGCACCACCAAAATATACATGGTGCACAAAATTACTTAAATGTCACCTTGCTTTTCCCATTTGATTGATTTTCAGGTGTACCACAGAGAAGTCATAAGTCCATACACCAACACTTAAACCACATGATCGAAAAATTACAAAATTCTCACCATATTTTTTCTCCTCTTCATTGAGATCCATTCATCTAATCTGAGCTCATCCTACAATTCTGATATGTCTGCACAACCACATTAAAAGAGCAATATCTCATAATCGACAAAATTACAAAATTGTCATCACTATTTTTCCCCTCTTCATTGATTTCCATTCATTGTCTATAACACCTTTGGGCCGAACAAAGTTTAGAAACCCATACTTGGGGAAAAAAAAGAATATAAAATTCCGAGTCAAAATACACAATTTATGTATTGAATGTTTACAATTTACATACTAAATGTTCACAATTCAAATAATTAACATTCGGTATGTAAATTGTGAATATTTAGTATATAAAATTGTGAACATTCAATATGTAAAAATTGTGAACATTCAATATGTAAATTGTAAACATTCAATATATAAATTGTGAATTTTTGGATCCGGATTCACAAAATAATTTGCCAAAAACTACTACAAGTATCGAACAAATTCATTTGTTTGGAATGAATACGTCTAAGGTCTTGTTAACCAATGAAGAAAGATGTTAGGTATACCAAATATTATACTACAGTTAACTTTATCTTGAATTCACGATTAACCAATTTTCTACTAATAACGAAACTTAAACGTTCGTAGACGCTGATCCAAATCATATACTCGTCCCCCGACTTGAGATGCTTTCATGCATGATGGCTGGCCTCCTGCCTCCACAGACCGGAAGGCACCTCACGCCACAACAATCTCCACCGTTCAATCTCCTAAAGGAGTATGATAACCCCTGCCATGCCAGACACAATAAATATCATCACAAATTAAACAATGGAAGATTACAAATTCGACTTCCAACAAAAATCACAGCGCGAGATTTACTTGGTCAGTGCACACTTTTGAGTAATAACAGTGCAAAATTTACTCAGACAGTGCACACTTTCAAGTAATAACATTGCGGGATTTACTCAGTCAGTGCACACTTTCAAGTAATAACATTGTGGGATTTACTCAGCCAGTGCACACAAGTAAGAGCATTGTGGGATTTACTCAGTCAGTGCACACAAGTAATAGCATTGTGGGATTTACTCAATCAGTGCACACTTTCAAGTAATAACATTGTGGGATTTACTCAGTCAGTGCACACTTTTGAGTAATAGCTGCTAATTTCTCTCGTCACACCAAAAAAAATAAAAAAAATAAAAAAAAATCGACATCAATATTTAAATTTAGTAAAGTTGAATTACCTCTCAATCTCTGGTGAAGATTTGGGAATTTGAAGGAATGGTCATAAGCTCACAACCAAAGCTCGCAGGCAGCATCAATCAAGCCTAACCAGTGAAATGAAATTGCGGATTGAAAGAAAATAAGAAATGCAGTGAAAGTTTGAGTCTTTTGCTATTTTTGATGGGATTTGGGCTCAGTAGTAGACATTTTTGTGTAAAAGCTTTGGGAATGAACACTTTTATATATATGATGAATATATAAACATATATTTACATATATATAAAATTAGTGAGAAAAAAAAATAAAATTCTGAGGGCATGCGTCCACCCCAGCCAGCAGGCTATGATCTCTCTACCTATAACCCAGTAAGTAATTTGCACTGCAAAACAGTTATGAATTGCATATTTCTCAGGTTAACTGAGAGCATCGCATTCTTACTGGTGAAAATACAACAGTTAGTTTGGCATGATCAGAGAGAGAATATTCTTCAGGCCACTTCCCTTTCTCTACTTCCTTGGGGAAAAGAACCGCGTCCTGGATGCTAAACCCGATGGCTTCATCTATGGCGTTTTCGCTGTCGTCCCATTGGTCGTCTCTTTGTTCTGACCATGTCGGGTTCCATATCCGTTGCTGCAATGCCAAAAGACGAGACATAAGAACTATTCTTAAACACCACCCTAAGGTAACCAGCTTGGTTGGCGTAGGTGGCTGTGCACTCTCATCCCTTAAGCGAGGTCAAGAGTTCGAACCCCCTCTCGTATGGAAAAACCAATCTGGCCAGCATTTCGCCCCTTAATTGGGCCGGCCCGGTGCAAAAGGGGATTAGTCTGAGTATGGTACGGGCTTAAAGGTGCCTCCTACAGTTAGGGTCTGCACAGGATACTAAGCACCTCATGGTCTGACCAAAAAGCACCACCCTAAGGTCCTTGTGGATTCGTCATATTATGCACAAGTAATGAGTTAAATCGAGTTGGAATCAGTGTTGCAAAAATCGCGCCTAGGCGGGAGCGCCCGCCTAGGCGTTCTAGGCGCCCACGCCCGCCTAGGCGGTCCCCAAGCGCGAGGGCGCCTAGCGATTTTTTCAACATTGGTCGAAATATACTAGAGATAAAAGAGAATTTTGATATATACCTTGAATTCTTTGTAATCAACAACACCGTTTCCATCCATATCTGCTTGCACCCACAAATCATTAATCTCCTGAATACTCAGCCCATTGCGATTGCCGATCAAACTAAGCTGCAGGATTAGTGGAACATATTAGGTATTATTGTTTTAAGGTAAAGGGAGAGGAAAGTAAAGCCTAAAATTGCGATTCATCTTTCTCTACAAGCACAAAATTGCACAAACGTATGGAGACACATAAATGTAAGTTCGGTTGCTGAATACTACCTGCCGCAAAGCTTCACAGAAATCGGAGTATGAAATATAATCATCACTGCTATCAGCCTTCAGAAAGGCAAATGCATCCTCTTCTGTCAAAGAGGCACGACGGAGTTGATACTGAAAATGGAGAGATTCCATTGTTAAATATACGGAGCTCAAGAAATAGTGTGTTTGATATGAATGACATTAAAAGAGAAGAACAATAAACCCAAGAAAGACAGAGGGAGTGTTTGGTAAATTAGCTGTTAGTTGATTACATATAAAATGACTTTCTCAAAAAGCTAATAAAAAAAGCTACTTTGAGCAGCTTTTTGAATTTTAGCATTTTGTAGCAATAAGTTGTTAAAGAGAGCTAATTAATCAAACACTCATTGATTGTTTAACCAAGTCAAACAGCTAATAGTGGTCAAATAAGCCCAAATTAGCTGATAAGCTAACTATGTTACCAAACAGGGCCAGAACATTCCCGCAAACATCATATACAGAATATACTCTCTACCTTAAACATTCCAAAGATTGCCTGACTCCAACTCGTTTTCAGCAACTTCCTGTACTTGTTAGGATTAAGAAGCCATATAAAATCCACACCACAGATGTTCCCTCGGTGATTCCGATGGCTCACCCACTGCATAAAATAATATGAAATGAGACTAAAGTTTGAGGTCTAATTGGTTAAAAATTCTCACCGAGAGACTAAGAGAGAGGGGATCGGACCTTCTGTGCATCTGCATCAGCGTACTGGTGTGCAGTATCATAGGATGATATAAATCCCTGAGATCTAAGGAACTTGTAAACATGACCCCGTTTACTTCCATTCCAATCCCTGAAAATTTTATAGAAACGTGAACAATAAGAATGTATACGAACAGAATTAACAGACATGGGACCACTTAAACGTCGAGTGAGAAAAGAAAAGTTACCCGCAGAGTATAATTGGCAAAGGGTTAAGCTTATTTTCCTTTTGATATGATTCCACATATTGCAATATTTTGTAGACCTAAAAAAGTGAACCATGGCGCAAAAGTGAGTGGTCAACTCGCTAAATTATTTTTTGGTAAATACGCAGCAGAAGAAATATCCAAGTACCTGTCGCAGACGTTCCAAGCAAATACTTGAATCGTGCGGGAACAGCAAGTGTGTGTTGACTATAAGAATTTCTTTTCTAACATTAACATTTCGACACGGCGAGCAGGGTAATACTAGCTCAACGTGTAATAACTGTGCAACACGGTCTCCAAAATCATTGAAAAGCAACTCTTGGTGGCTTATAACACTGAAGTAATCCTTATGTACAGCAGTCAACAGACCTGTTGATCAATAAAGAACGACTTAAATCTTGCAAAAAAACAAGCTTTTTCTCCTCGTTCATCTCTCCTCCACCTCACACAAAAGTTGCAAAAAGTGCCACCAAAAACCCGAGAAAAGAGCCAATGGGAATGCTGTTAGGAAAGGGTCCCAAGTGTCTCTGAATAAGTGGGGTAAGTCACATGGATTCAGTGCTATTGAAGCAACAACTTTGAAAAGTTGAAGATAATTGGGGCCATGTTAATGAGTTTCAATCAAGATTCAAAAGCACTATGACTATTGGAGACTCGTATTCTAAGCAATACTTGTTTATCAATTACAGCAAAAGCCTGACTTTAACATCAAGAAATAAAAGGGCAACTAACAAAAGCTTCAGCATTCTAGTTTCTCAGAATCTTGAGATGTATAAATTGCAAAGATAATTGATGCCAGAATTAACAATCAATCAAGAACATACCATCACCCCGGTTGTTAGTTCTGGCAAGCTTAAAAGTAAGATATCCAGCATCACCTAGTTTCTTGTCATAGAGATCAACAAGCTCTTCATTTCCAACCCAAAATTCCTAGAAACAAGAATAAACTTGTTTAAGAATAGTCACAAACAATGCGCAATAAACTGATTTACAAAAACCTAAATTAGAAAAGTAATACAAATGAAAGGGAGAGAGAGAGAGAGTAAAATCTTTCGCCTTCAATTTTACCTGAAGACAAATGATGGAAGATCTTTCATACAATAACCATTCCAAGATTCTTTCGTTCCTGTCCAACCAAAATCCCCTGAAATGGCTTTCTCTAACACTGGGGTCCTGTATTTTTACCAAAAACCACAATAAGGAAAAGGCAGACAAACACCCAGATTGTAAAGTTCAGATATTTTTAGTTCCCACATAAGAAAAAAAAAAAAAGATGAGAACAAACCTCGTTACAGAGCCTTTTGTAAATGGGAGCAAGGATATTGAAAGTTGTGCAAGAAACGGAATTGGGATCGGAGATTGAAGAGGCAGCTGCATAGCCGCCGATTCTGGAAGCCCTCCCTTTGGCTAGTCCCCTCTTCTTCCTCCCCATTGTGAATTATGTATTTAGGATGAATACCCGGAGTTGAAAAGTGTGTATGCCGGAGGGGCAAAAGACAAGGGAGAGGAAGAAAAAACAGAGAGAGAGAAAGAGAGTAGAATCTAGTCTATAAGAAAAGAAAGAATTGATAGATGAAGATCGAGGAGATTGAGAGAATGAAGAAGACAAAGAATGCAGCGGAATTGCGTTTCATGAGTCATCTACGTATTGCGAAATCTACGCAGCGGGATATATACGGAGAGAGAATCTGTTTCTGTGGAGAAGTGGGAAAAAGCCGGAGAATCATTCAATTTTTATTTATTTATTTTTTTCTTTTAAATCTTTTAATAACAATAAAATGATTGCATATTTGCATTTATTTATACACCGTCAGTTTTAAATGCTTTTGTATTATTCCAACCCCACAACAACAATATAAATTTAACTTGTTCAGTTGGTGACAGTGATATAATTTAGAAAGAATGACTAGAGATCGAGTCTCACTAGCGATAAATGTGTTCACCATGAAATAAATATAGGAGGTAAAACGTGACTCACCTGACTTATGAACTTCAAATACTTGTATATTAGTGTCAACAACAACAATAATTTCTCCCCCACTTGTTTTAAAAGTTGTTATTTCAATACATATTTTCCCCCACTTGTTTTAAAAGTTGTTATTTCAATACATATTTTAAAGTGTGATCCACTAGCAATTTTAATTTTTACCCAAGTAAATTTTGATTCTCTTATGGCCCGTTTGGTTCACGGAATAGGCCGGGAATGACATAGCATTCCCAGTAATAGGCTTATTCATTTGTTTGGTAACCATTTCTATTACCAAGAATAATATTCCTGGTAATGGCCTATTACCTTAAATGAGGTAATAGCTATTACTAGGGCCCCCCCTGGTATTAGCATATTACTGAACGCTCAGGAATAGCTTTTATAATATATTTTCTTTTTTACCCCTTTCTTTAACCTAATTTTTTTAATCCTATATATAAATTTATCTTATTTCACCACCGTCGCCGCCACCACCACCATCACCGCTGTCGTCACCGCCACCACCACCATCACCGTTGCCACAACCACCACCACCACCATCGCCACAACCGTCACCGTCCCCACCACTGCCACCGTCGCCCCCACCACTGCCACCGCCACCACCACCACTACCACCCCAGCACCACCACCACCATCGTCACCACCACCGCCACCAACAACGCCGCCGCCGCCGCCACCACCACCACCGTCGCCGCCCCCACCACCACTGCCACAACCGTCACCACCGCCACCGCCACCACCACCATTACCACCCCAGCACCACCATCACCACCACCGCTACCACTATCGCCGCCACCATCGCCACCATCACATATTTTTATAAGGGTATTTATGTCTTTTAAAACATATTTCATTTCTATTCCTTAAATCAACCAAACACTGTAATATAATTCCTAAAGTCTATTCCTTCCGCGAACCAAACAATAGAATACAATTCATATTCTATTCCTTGCCTATTCCATTCCTTATGGAATAGCATTCCTATTACTTCAAAATTCATTCCGTGAACCAAACATGCTGTTAGAGATGACCACGGTTCGGTTCGAACCGTAGGTTCAAACCGAAACCGTGATTGTGCAAACCAGAACCGTCTGTACGGTTCTGGTTCCGGTTCTTAACCGAAACCTATAAGGTTCCGATTAAAGGTTTGTAAAATTTTGAAACTAGAACCAGCGGTTTCGATTCCAAACCGAAAAAAATTAAATATTATAGTGTTTTTTTTTAATAATTCCGGTTCAGAACCGTCACCGGAACCGTGGTCACCCCTAGATTCTCTTGAGTAAGAAAGATTAATTTTGTATATTACATATTCAATATGATTAATGAATAGCTTTAAAAAATTGATTCGTAAAATATATTTACAAAATCTGAAAATCAATTTATCTTATGTTGAAATAAGACGTGAACATAGTAATTTGAAGCACTTGGTTTCATGTAAATAGTTTTGGGTAAGACCTTCATTAGAGTAAAAGTCAAATTTTAAAGTTACAATTTTAACTGGACCAAATTAGTTTATGGTGATGAGAATATTGAATGTGGTATGTAACTAACAAAACATGAATGTTAATTGATGTATTATATATATATATATATATATATATATATATATAGATATTGAATCTGGTGAGGTTACCTTTGTCAGGCAAGGTGGTGAGGCTTGATCTGGTGCGTTGTTTTGTTTTTTTGGATGGATGAGATTAATCTCATTGTGTAGCCACGTGCGTGTGTATTTAGTGCAAATGGGGTGTTGTTGTCTTTTTTATATTGTCTTAATTAGGTTGTAATAATAGATTAGCAGATTTTATGGGCTTGTGCAACACTAATTATGGTAGTTATGTGTTTTAATTATATTATTATTGTCGATATGCGTTACTGACGTGGTGTTTGCATCCGACTCTTAGTCTACCAGTTGTAGACTGTCTTCTCCGCAAACGCTTCTGCTCTCTCCCTTCTCCAACGGTCACTCCCCGATCAGATATCCAGCGCATTCTCCGACATTCTGCATGGCAGGGTCTTCTTCACGCCAATCCAAGAGACAAAGGCGGGGATCTGCTGCTCGCATTCCAGGTATCCCGTATGATTTTGATTGTGTATTCGATGTGGGGTGTGTATATAGAGTGGTTGGTGGTGGTGCATGTCGACGGTGGGAGGATGGAGGAGCGCCGGCGACGGGGGGAGGGCTGGGGAGTGCCGGCGACGGCGGTGGGAGGGTTGGGGAACGCCGGCGACGGTGGGAGGGCTGGGGAGTCGACGGTGGTGGGAGGGGTGGAGAGTGCCGGCGATGGCGGTGGGAGAGTTGGGGAGTGCCGGCGACGGCGGTGGGAGGGTTGGGGAGGGCCGGCGACGGCGGGGGGAGGGTTGGGTAGTTGGGTAGTGCCGGCGACGGCATGGGGGGCGGTGGTTTAGTTTTGCGATGCGTATGTTCATGGGGTGTTTTTTGTTCCGTGTTTTAGGGTTTACGCTCCGTTTTTTTTTTTTTTTTTTTTTTTTTTGTTAACTATGCAGTAGGTTTTTTATTTTAATTTTTTAATTGCATGTGCTAGTTGCTTTCATGGTCTTTGCATTTCAGTATATGTCTTATTCCAATTCGATTGCCAACTTTAAGATTGTTAACATTACTATTACATAATGGTAGTTATGATTTGTATATGAACACTGTTTTTAGTTCATGTGATTAAAATTATCTAACTGTGTTGGTTATTAAGAAAGTCTTTTAAAATGTTTTTTTTTTAATATTTTCAAAAAATAATTTGTCATATGCATGAGTTTTATCATTATTTGTTGTATAGTGGTGGTTATAATGTCTGTGCATATCATATATGAGATGGGTCTATGCAGTAGTTTTGGTATGTTAATTTTTTATTACGTGTGCTAATTGCTTTCATGGTCTTTGCATTTGATTATATGTGTTTTGAATGTCTTATTCCAATTTGATTGTCAACTTTTAATATTGTTAACATTACTGTTACATAATGTTAGTTATGATTTGTCTATCAACTCTGTTTTTATTTGTTGTGATTAAAATTATCTAAATGTGTTGGTTATTAAAAAAGTCTTTTAAACTGTTTTTTGTATATTTTTAAAAAATAATTTGTCATATGCATGAGTTTTATCATTATTTGTTATATAATGGTGGTTATAAGGTCTGTGCATATCATATACATATATGAGATAGGTCTATGCAGTAGTTTTGGTGTTTTAATTTTGTATTGAGTGTGCTAGTTGTTTTCATGGTCTTTGCATTTGATTATATGTTTCTTGTATGTCTTATTCCAATTCGATTGTAAACTTTTAAGATTGTTAAAACATTACTGTTACATAATGTAAATTATGATTTGTTTATCATCACTGTTTTTATTTCTTGTGATTAAAATTATCTGAATTGGTTGGTTATTAAAAATGTCATTTAATCTGCTTTATTGTATATTTTTTAAAAAAAAAATTGTCATATGCATGAGTTTTATCATTATTTGTTATATAATGGTGGTTATAATGTCTGTGCATATCATATATGAGATGGGTCTATGCAGTAGTTTTGTTATTTTAATTTTTTATTACGTGTGCTAATTGCTTTCATGGTCTTTGCATTTGACAATATGTGTTTTGAATGTATTATTCCAATTTGATTGTCAACTTTTAATATTGTTAACATCACTGTTACATAATGTTAGTTATGATTTTGTCTATCAACACTGTTTTTATTTGTTGAGATTATAATTATCTAAATGGGTTGGTTATTAAAAAAGGCATTTATACTGTTTCTTGCATCTTTTTTTTTAAAAAATTGTAATATTCATGAGTTTTATCATTATTTGTTATATAATGGTGGTTATAATGGCAGTGTGCTATTTGCTTGCATGGTCTTTGCATTTCGTTAATTGTATGATTATTCCTTTTTGTGTGTTGAGTGATTGCATTGTGTATGCTTTTGACATTGCGTTTTTTGAAATACTTTTTTCCTTGTTATTATAACTCATGGGTATATGCCAATGTTTTATTTTTATTTTTCTTTTTTAAAATTTTTATGTGGTTGTATGCGTTTATTGAGTGTATGGTCATTGCGTTTGACAATGTGTTCTGTATTTATTTTTCTTTTATTTAATTCAGTTGTCAAATTTTAAGATTTTTTTCTTTTTATTATTATTTTTATATAATGTCGGTTATAAATTATGTATCAACACATGTTTTTTGTTGTGTGTTTTTATTGTAGCAGACGATGGAGAGGCGTTTGAATCCCCGCCTGTTGCGCGTTCGTCTGTGGTGCATCATGGTCAACTAGTCCACCACGTTGGGGTGCCGACCACTGTTCAAGTCGAGGCACCGCTTTCCGGAGTGCAAAGTGGGTCCCCCCCAGTCCTTCCGGCCCCGGAAGTGGTTATTCCGTCTCTTAATACTCGCGGATCTCCTAGACATTTGGTGTCTCAATTTAAACATTTTACTGCTTGTCAACGCAAAGCGGTGAAGCAAATTGGATTGGGGGAGTTGTTGGATTGTGGGGTGGTGGATTTTCCGAAGCGGTTAAGTTGGTGGCTGCTAGATCAGTTTGATCCTTCCAACATGTCTGTGCGTTTGGACAACGGTGCACTACTGACTGTCACAGAGGAGGCTGTCCAGGCCACGTTGGGGCTGCCACGAGGAGGCGTTGCTATTACAAAGAGGCCCAAAGACGATGTTA